GCGGTATGGAATGATTTGCTGTGTGATGTTGTGACGCACAGAGTATCCCCCAAAACCATAAAATCTCACTGAACAAAGGACCAGGACTCACTCCCTGGGATCACTGAGTCGGGAACGGTTGTGAGTCCAGGCTCGAGCTTGCAATAAAGAGTCTTGTGTGATTGCATTGGACTTGGCTCCTGGAGGTCTATTGGGGTCCCACGAATCTGGAATAACATTTCTAAGGCAGAAACTGTCAACAGTGCTGTCATTTATACTGTGGCAGTTAACACGCCCCATCCTCATGCTGGGGACTGAACCAGGTGTATTCTACCTCTGAGCTACATCACAGCCTTTTATTTTTTTTGAGACAAGGTTTCACTAAGTATAAACACCTTCCAGGTATTTCAGAGGCCCAGAAGGACGTTTTTGTCTGGATAGGATCTTGACCTACTGCTGAAGAATTTAGCAGTTAGCAGTCCCTAACAAACCTATTTGCTTGTGGGGCTCAGTTGGTTAAATTAAAAAATTAATTTATTAAAGTTTATTTTAGGTACCTGGGATTGAACCCAGGGGCCACTGAGCCCCAACCCCAGCCCTTTTTATTTTTTATTTTGAGACAGGGTCTCCCTAAATTGCTTAGGGCCTCACTAAATTGCTGGGGTTGCCTTTAACTTTTGATTCTCCTGCCTCAGCCTCCAGAGCCTCTGGGATTGCAGCTGTGCACCTTTACGTGCAGCAGTTGGTAGATTTTAGTGGAATCTCTTCTATCTTTCTATAGCCACCGATTTCTTCAGAAACTGACTCATCCCCCAAAACAGAGGGAGCAGGAACTCTAACCCCACTAAGATTTAAGACTATAATAATATGTCTAAGCAGTGCATGGTGTCACAGGCCTGTACTCTTAGCCATTTAGTAGGCTGAGACAGAACGATCTCCAGTTTGAGACCAGCCTGGGCAACTTAGAGAGACCTTGTCTCCAAATTTTAGAAAAGTGCTGGGGAAGTAGCTCAGTAGTAGAGCAACCCTGGGTTAAATTCCCAGTACCGGGTGAGGGCAGGAAGTGGGGAAGCAAGCTCTGTCTGATGGATTGGGAATACTCAGCCAAAGTTTGATTTCAGGAAGACAAGCTGGTTCCCAAGGGGATGAATGGCTTTTGGGATCACTGAATGAGACTCCCTTCAAAGGCCTTAGAAGGAGGCCCTTTTACAGTGCATAGTGCGTCCTGAGGGTGGAGTTGAGATGGAGGCAGAAGGCGGCAGCTCTAAAGTGCATGTGTATGAAGTGAGTGTGCTCTACCTCATGGAGACCAGACTGCTTTTCATGGGACAGCCTGACTGGGCTGAATGAAGATTGAGTGTGTTCTCTCTCATTTCACCAGTGTCAATGTCTACAGAGGCCCAAACTAAGGCCTTTAGTAGTCAGTAAAGTAGTTTTATTCCTTCAGGACTTCTGGGGTTTGAGGTAAAAAATTGATACTAACTGGGCGCAGTGGTGCATGCCTGTTAATTCCAGCAGCTCAGGAGGCTGACGCAGGAGGATCCCAAGTTCAAAGCCAGCCTCAGCAACTTATCGAGGCCTTAAGCAACTTAGTAAGATCTTGCCTCAAAATAAAAAATAAAAAGGGCTGGAGATGTGGATTAGTAGTTATAAGCCCCCCTGGTTGAATCCCCAATACTAAAAAAAAACCCCACTAATTCTGTGACAGGTTTCCAGCTCTATTGAGCAGTGAATATATGTTTCCATATATTCCATATATTGTAAGTAATGCCTGCAGATGTCTGGTTGCCCATGGCTGGGGAAGAGGCCAGAAGGCATAAGTGACTTGGTTAGAGTGTTATCTGAAAGGCTGTTAAGGACTAGGAATTTCAGGGTAAAGCTCAGGCCACCAAAGTATAAGCAGTAACCAGGGCTAATCATGGACATACTGTTGTCATGGAGATTCCCAAAAACAAGAGAAGAAAGTAAGCCCAGAAAAGACTGCAACTTCTTATTAGTCCAGCAAGTAGTGTTTAGCAATGCTTGGAATCTTGTCAGAACCAACCTCAGACCTACTGTGTCAAAAATACTGGTGTGTGTGTGTGTGTGTGTGTGTGTGTATGTGTGTGTGAGTTTATGTGTGTTGTGTGTGTTTTGCTGGGAAAGGAGGATGAACACAGCACCAGGTCAAGCATGTTCTTTGAGCCACAGAAGACTGGGCAGGGTTTTATTCTAGTTGCAGCAGGAAGCCATTTAAGAGTTTTAAGCAAGATCTGATTTTTGCTTTAAAAATTGCAGTCCGTATGTTGTCTGTACATTCTCCCATCATTCGTCACACGGCAGCCACAGTGGCCTTCTTTCAGTTCTTCAAACACACTGAGACCCTTGCTGCCTCTGAGCCTTTGTACTTGTGGCTCCTTCTGGAATGTTCTTCCCTAGTAGTTCACCTGGCCAGCTCCTTTTCAGGCCTCACTCATGGCATGGGCCACTCAGAGGCCCTTTCTGACCATTCTAACAGGTCTTCCCCATTGTCCCCACCTCATGATCCTGTTCATTCCATTGCCCTCGGAGCACTACAGCTCTTGTCCCAGTGTGTTAATTATTACCCTATTTGTTCTTATCTGCCTCCCCACTCGATTGCGTTCTCTTGAGGACAGAGTTGTTTTCTGTCTTATTCATGGTTATGTATCCAGGACCCAGACAAGTTTTTAGCACACCATGCTTTCTCTTTAAAGATGGAGATGCTGGGGGCTGGGGATATAGCTCAGTAGGTAGAGTGATTGCCTCATAGGCACAAGGTCTTGGGTTCACTCCCCAGCACCACAGGGGAAAAAAAAAAAAAAGTCCTACCTATGCTCCAACACAGGAAGTCGAGTGAAGAAGAGCCAGCAACGAAGGCTAACTACAGTAAGGGTTGGGGTTGTGGCTCAGTGGTGAAGTGCTTGCCTAGCATTAGTGAGGCCCTGGGTTTGATTCTCAGCACCACATTAAAAACAAACAATCAGTAATTTGAGGAATATTTTTGTTTTGTTTTGTTTTATTTTTGGTACCAGAGATTGAACCCAGGGGCACTCAACCACTCAAGCCACATCCCTAGCCTTTTTTTAGTTGTATATGGACATAATGTCTTTATTTATTTCTATGTGGTACTGAGGATCGAACCCAGTGCCTCACACATGCTAGGCAAGTGCTCTACCACTGAGCTACAACTTCAGCCTCCTCCCACCTTTTTTTGTATTTTATTTAGAGACAGGTTCTTGCTGAGTTGCTTAGGGCCTCACTAAGTTGCTGAGGCTGGCTTTGAACTCATGATTTTCCTGCCTCAGCCTCCCGAGCCACAGGAATTACAAATGTATGCCACCGCCCCGGGCATTGAGGAATATTTTTTGAGAATGTGCAACTTTCTTTTTTCTCCTTAAAGTATTACTCACTAATTTTGTATTCATCAGTAGATTTGCCTGTAGCAATCATTTTGTGGTATCTTAATGGAGATTTTTCTATTTCCTTCATTCTACATATATTATTTAGCACTCATCTGTAAAGAAAATGTATCCCTTTCCTCCAATTTATTTATTCCACCTTGTCATGCATTCATGGATATGTATTTTGTTCTTTGGATTATTAATCAGTGTTTTTTGGTGGAGAGGGTACCGGGGATTGAACTCAGTCAGTATTATAATTTTTTTTATTTTTCTTGCTCAAATTGTTCTCAATTTGTCTTTGGGAGCTCTTTTAGTTGGATCTTTTTTTTTTCCCCCCTTGGTAATGAGGTTTGTACCAAGGGGTACCCTATCACTGAGCTACACGCCCAACCCTTTTTATTTGAGATAGGGTCTTGTTAAGTTGCCCAGGCTGGCCTGGAACTTGCAATCCTCCAGAGTCTCTGGGATTTTAGGCATGTGCTACCACGCCTGCCAGGTGCATTTTTTTTTGACACATGGGCACATCTCCCCCCTCTCTCTCTCTCTTCCACTCCTTTTCTGTAAGATACGCAAGCTCATTCTGCATTTTCTCCATCTCAGCCCCAGAACTAGCCATTTCTCCAAGGGACTTGGGTTCCTTTTGTTGGAGAATAGCATTTTGAAACTAAGATCTGGGTGCTGAGTGTGGTCATTGCTGCTGAGGTGTCATTACTTCTTGGCCCTCTTAATAGACAATACTAGGAAGCATATGTTTGTATACGCTTATGTATACATATTTATTTCTTTGTATACTTATTAAAATGAACAAGCGTTCAAGCTGTATTGCCAACTCTAATGCAAACTCGCAGGGTCCCTCCTAGCTTTCCCTACCTCATTGTTGTTTCTTTCTGGGCCAGTGAGAAACCTCTCTCTCTTTATCAACAGTAGATTTATTTATCTGTACAACCCTAGTACACAAAGTAGTTTCAGAATTGCCAACCCCGTATCTGTGCAAGACAATTTGCCAACAATACTGCACTGTTTGTATACAGTTCTTTCTGATTTTAATCTTATAATTTTAAGCCAAAACATTGCTTTCCAAGTTTAAGTTTAGTTTTTTTTTTTTTAATTCCTCACTCCCTTCAATGAGGTTATGTTATACATTTGTTATACAGCTAGATTCATTTGTCATACTCTGAGTTTTCAGGATAGCCTGATTATCTTTTTTATATTCACATAAATAAAAGTCTCTCTTCTTGGTATGTGCTTCTCTGTGTTTTGATAAATGTATACAGTTATAAACCCGCCCCCAAAGTACCATGTAGAACAGTCTGTCACCTAAAGATTCCCTTGTGCAGGTCCTCATAGTGAGCGCCTCCTTTCTCCACACGGACATATTTTCCATTCCTATTACTTTACCTTTTTCTGAATGTCTTACAAATATGGAGCTCTTTAAGTCTAAGCCTCTTTCACTTAGCAAAATGCATTTAAGAGCATGTTGTTATTTGAACCAATGGTTCATTCCTTTTTCCTGCTGAGTATGGACAGGCTCATAGCCGCTCATGGATTGAATATCCACAGTTGGTTTATCCATTCTTCTGTGGAAGCACATCTGGATTATTTCTATTTTTTTTTTTGCAATTATTAATGAAACTGCTATTAAACCGTCATGTGTAGGTTTTTGTGTGAGTGTAAGATTCCAGTTGACTTGGGTCAGTTTCTGGTAGTGAAATGGCTGCCTCCTATAGCTAGGTCCTTATAAGAAACCGCCATACAGTTTTTCAAAGTAGCTGCTATGCTTTGCCATCCCAATGGTGAGAATGAGAATTCCCGTTGTTTTGCATCCTCACCAGCATTTTGTTGTCTATACTTTTTAAAACAACTTCTCCTTTCCTTAGGTCTCTGCCTGGATCACAAAATAATCTACACCCTTGCCACCTGCTGGTATTGGTGCAGGTGATCAGCCCTCTTCCTCTGGGTGCTAAGTACTCTCCTATTTCCCAACAGTCGGGAAGGGCAGTTCCAGCAGACATTCTTAGGCTGGCCTGAGAGACAACAGCACTTTGCTGGAGAAGCATTCCTTCCTGGATTTCCCAAACCTTTGCCTTCGGGCAGCCTTTGAGCTTCTAGCTCCTTTCAGCCTCTGGCTAATCTAACCAAGGGAATCCACTGACAGACGAGGGTGGTCAAGGGTCTTCACTAGAGACTCTTCAGCGGCTGAGGAACCAACAGGAGAGACCACTTCGTGTGGCTTTCCAGCTGGACAACGGTATTCATTCATCAGGAGGAAGCTGAGCACCAGGCCCCTGCTCCCTGTCTCCGCCTCCTAACTTGGCAGGTAGCACATTCTCATAGTCGTGAGTGTCTTCGTGTGACATTTCTTCTTCAGGTTTCATCTGACAGTCCTCACTCAGTGGGGATGCACAGTGCCCTGAAGATAGGGAATTCCTTGTGAGAGGATGGATGTCAGTCCCCGGGCCATCTGTCTTTTCCTCTTCATGGCCTGTGTTGGAAGATGTCACTTCTTCCTCAGTTTGCTGCTGGCTTCCCTTGGGATCTGCTGGTGGGACATTCTCATAATCTCTGCAGCCTTGAAAAGCCACCCAGGGCACCTCCTCTTGGCTGTCCTCGAGATCCAAACCTGTCATGTTGACATAGTCATTTGAGGTCTGAGAAGAATCCTCCCCATCGCTGAGTGGATCGCTGTCCTTAGTTCCTGGAGCCCAAAAGCTGGTACAGTCACTGGCATCCCCACAGCCCTGGTGTCTTTTCTCAGTTAAGTCCGACTGCTGGGCGCTTGAAAGAACAGGGAGACTTTCAGGCAGGCTGTCATTAGGAGTTAGAGTCCCAGCCATCGTTTCTGCTGTGGGGACATTGACATAATCATTTGAATCCTCTGAAGAAGTGCTCGAGACATCCCTGGAAGCTCTGACATTGACGTAGTGTGTCGAGGGAGTGACGTTCCTGCACACCTGGGGCACCGTGGCATTGTCGTAGACACCAACTGCGTACCCCATGGTGTGGATATGGGCTGTGTGCATCTGGAGGGTGCTCTCTGCTTGGGAGGGCTGTGAAGAAGAAGAGAAAGTGACAGGATGGAAGCAGAAATGTGGACAATGTCTCTCTTCTTCCCTGTGTACCACTTCCTAGTGCCACCTGGTTCCTTCATTCAGTCCTCTATCTGGGGTCTCAGACCACAAGGCTCTAGCTGTCAGACAGGTAAGAATGACGTGGATTGAGTTTAAGAAGTGCAATCATGTAAGTGGGATGACAGGCTGCAAATGGCTTTTGGCCACAGTGTGGGGGTTCAGTGGGGCGTGGGGAGGAAGTGTCATAAACTAGAGAGAGCCTCCGTCCCCAGATCACACTGAGAAGCAGTATGGCACAGGGACTAAAGGCAAAGGCTCAGATTGGTGCTGAGTGAGTTAGACCACTTCACCTCATCTTCCTGTCTTTATTCTCTAATTTGTCAAATGAGGATCATCATTGTATCAATTTCATAAAGGTTTTTGTGAGAGATAAAAGGATCAGATACATATAAGGCGCTTAGAATAGCACACCGAAGACACCAAGAAATGCTTGCTATTATTTCTAAAGGGACACTGGTGCACAGCTCCAGCTGCTCATTGCCATTTAGGGATCCTGGTCTGATGTTTCCAGAATTTCTGAATTTTCAAGAAAAGCTGGATATCTGGATTTTTCGATCTGTAATATCTTCAATATTCACATGTCGGTAACTCATTCAGCGTGTTCTTCAAACACTACAGAGTACAAACCAAACATCTGTGTGGGCCTAAGACAGTTTGAGTCACGCAGCCTGGTGGCACACGCCTGTAACCCCAGAGACTCAGGAGGCTGAGGCGGGTTCAGCAATTTAGTGGAAGAATTAGAGGAATTTAGCAATTAGGGAAGCATGAAGCAACTCAGTGAGACCCTGTCTCTAAATAAAATACAAAATAGGGCCTGGGATGTGACTCTGTGGTCGAGTGCCCCTGAGTTCAATCTCCAGTACCAAAAAAAAAAAAAAAAACCCAAAACTTCAGCACAGGGACTTGGGGAGACCATTCAGATCACCATGGGGATGGCAAAATTTAAGTAATTTAGAAAAAGAGGAAGCAAAAGTGGTGACATGGGGTGGCTGCATAGTAAAGAAACCTAAATTTCTGGGAAACTGGATGATGATGGGCCGAGTGACAACAGATTGTCCATCAGCAGTCTCGCTGCACTTGCCCAAGGATGACCACTTAGTAAGATCCTGCCTCAAAATAAAAAAAAAAAAATTAAAAAATTAAGTGACAGAGGATGGAGCTCAGTGGTAAAGCCCTCTTGGGTTCAATCCCCAATACAAAAAAAAAAAAAGTCTGGGACCTAAGCTCTAACTGCAAAATGTCCTCAGGGACTACCCAGGTCTTCGAATGGCTTTGGCAGGGAATTTCCTCTGCTCTGCCCTTTCTCAGCCACTCAGACTCGTTACCCAGGAAGTTACAGGCAGGAGTAGAGGCCAGTGAGTGGGAGGAGGAAGAGGAAGCAAAAGTGGTGACGTGGGGTGGCTGCATGGTAAAGGAACCTAAACTTCTGGGAAACTGGATGATGACAGGCCGAGTGACAACAGATTGTCCACCAGCAGTCTCGCTGCACTTGCCCAAGGATGACCGCAAAACCAGAGGGACTGGTTTTTTAACAAGCAAATAACATGTGTACAAGAATCAGGACCCTGGCATTCAAAGTAGCCCCACTGTCACCAAACTGTTGTTGAAATCATCCTCGGGAGCCACCTTCAAAGCGAGATTATAAAACACACAGGACTACCTCTGTGAATCCTAACCCTCCGCTCGTAACCCCAGAGGCTGTCCCCATGGTGATCTGAACGGTCTCCCCAGGTCCATGGGTAGAAGCAATTGTTTTTCTTTCTGGTACTGGAGATTGAAGTCAGGGGCACTCGACCACAGAGTCCCATCCCCAGCCCTATTTTGTATTTTATTTAGAGACAGGGTTTCACTGAGTCGCTTAGTGCTTCATTTTTCCTGGGGCTGGTTTTGAACATGTGATCTTCCTGCCTCAGCTTCCCAAGCCACTGGGATTACAGGTGGGGGGCCACGGCTCCCTGCCCATGTGTGGAAGTCTTAATCCTTGTCGCAACAGTATTGAGAGGTGGGACCTTTAAGAGGTGATTAACGCTGTTGTCGTGGCAGTTAGTTATCACTAGTTAGTTATCACAGAAGCAGGTTCCTGATAAAAGGATGAATACTTCCCTCTTCTCTCTCTTTTCTTTCCCTCATCATGTTATAACAAGCAAAAAGGTCTTCACCAGATGCAGTCCCTTGATTTTGGACTTTGCAGTCTCCAGAAGGGCAAAACAAATAAACTTCTATCCAATAGAAGTTACCCTAAATGGGGCTGGGGCTGTAGCTCAGAGGCAGAGCTGAGTCACATGCGTGAGGCACTGGGTTCGATCCTCAGCACCAAATGAAAAAATAAATAAAATAAAGGCATTCTTTCCATCTACAACTAAAAAAAAAAAAAACTTAAATTAAAATAAATTACCTCAAATGGACCAAGACACCTTCATTTGATCAAACACTTTCTACAAGGGCTTCAGGGCTGAATGAATGATTTATGGAGATTTTTGCTTTGAGGATCATGGAGACAATTTGACACAAACCCTAGAAGTAACTCCCAGAGCTGGGTTTTAAGTGTCTTGAGTATCAATAGCGTCATCGGTACTCAAAATGATACCCACCTCTGACACTCATTGGATAAGCACATTATCACATCTTTGTTAAAACAGTCAATTTCAGTTCCACATTATGTACTTGAATACTTTTGCCTTTCTTAAAACCCCAAGCACTTGCTCCTGTCTTTCTTAATTTTTCTCCTTGGGCAGTAGGGAGGTCTGCAGCTGGTCATCTCAATTTATTAATAGGCCTGCCAGGTGAGGGCCAGAGGACAGGCTGTTTGTCGTGAAACCAGATCCGAGACCTACGACTCATTCCCTTCAGTTCTTTGGCCAGAGACCTGTCATTCTCTCGGGGGCTTGTCTTTTCACTTGACTTTTTTTTTTTTTTTTTGTTTCCAGGGCCGGGGATAAAATCAGGACTTCCCACATACTCAGCAGGTGCCTTGTCACTGAGCTACACCCCAGTCCTTCACTTGACTCTTACCATATGCTCCGGGCTGTCGGAATTTCTGGACAGGAGGCTCTCGGCACTGAACATGCGGATACTCCTTGGCTGATGTCTCCCTGAAAGGACAGAGAATGAAACCTGAAGATAGTCAGTCTTCTGTGGGCTTCAGCTCAAACTCTCCCTGCGTGGTGGCTGAGCTGGGTTTGTGTGGGACCTGGTATTTCCAGACGGAGCCTGGTGTTCTGTGATGACAGGATCCCACCTGCCAGGCTTCTGTGCTCTGAGACTCGGAGGCCTCCTTGGAAGCTCCTGCAGAGCACTCCCCCATCGCTACCCATGAGGCTGGCTCCAGGGTCTCCTTAGGCAGGTCCTCCCCACACCTGGACGCATGCGGCTCTCCTCTGCTGCCTTAATGTCAAGAAAAGCCACAACCCCAAGCCAGGATGATCCTCACTTCCTTTTTAGAGCTCTCCGGGCCTCCCCTGGAGTGCAGCTTACAGTCTACCTAGCTCCTTCTTCTCAGTGCTGTCTGAAGCACTCTCTGGAAGCTTGGAGCAAGTTGCTTCCAGGTGGAGAGAGGTACATTCTGGGAGCTGGAGTTCAGGTATCAGGACTGCACAGATCAGAAGGAAAAACTTACCCAGCTCTTCTTGCCGCTGAGGCAAGAGATCGTAAATATTTTTGGCTCGTGGTCTGGGTCGAGGCAGAGTCAATGAGGGCATGGCAGTCACTGGGAGGTAAGGAACCCGCCCTGCAAAGCAGTGAGAGAGATGGGGATCATGGCACGGGTCAACTGTGAGGACTCTTGGGGACAAGATGCTCCCTGGAAATGTTCCCCACCCCTACCTGGTAGCATAAAAAAAATTATCTTTTTAGACTTGAGCCAGAATTTCCATTTGAAATTCTGCCACACTGTCTTCCAGTGCCGTTTGAACTAAAGGAATAGGGGACTCATGGACAGAGGCAGGACGAGGGTGAAACTGGCTGCAGGGGCACTTGAGCCACGTTCTTCTGATCCCAGTGCACTGCAACTGAGGACCAGTGTGCCAGGTAAGGGCAGAGGACTCCTCAGAGCCATGCCAGGCTGGAGGATTAGCCCTACTAAGTGTCAACTGAAGATATACAAGGACTCACGCTTCTTCCGTTTGTTCCAGTTCCACAGGATGCAGGCCACTGTGATGAGCAGGAGGACAGCCAGGAGTCCCACTAACCCAGAAAAGATGATGCTGCTCTTGTCGTTATCTCTAGGAGGAAAACCAAGTGCCATGCTCCGGCTGGCTGTGGGGTGGTGGGGAGGTGGGTGGAGAAAATGTTTCCTTCAGGAGTTAGAGCTCAAAGATTTGGAACAGGAGCCCAAGCAAGGAAAGCCGAGGAGGAGTACACCAAGGGGCGGAAGAGAGGGTCATCTCTGAATAGGGACTACAAGGAGAGGGGACTTGGACATGGCAGAAGAGAACCATTCCTTTAGAATGCCTACCAAGTGCCAGAGGTTTGCATGTGAAACTTATTCACTCTTTAGAACAACCCTATCTTGTTTTGAGGCCAGGGATCCTGAGATTTAGACTCAGGAAAGGACCTTGTCCGAGATTACGTAGGTAGGAAGGCACAGAGGTGCAATGTGAGTCTAGGTCTGCTAGGGTTCAAAGACCTTGCTCTTTTAGCCCTGTCACACTGTCCTCCAAACTTGCAAAATCAAATCCCTCTGCCCCTGTTTCTCCTCATTCCCACTCCTGGGATTCCTGGCTTGCTTGGAGGAGAAGATTACCCAACTCACAATTAGGGAGTGGCTCTGTGACAGAGTGCAACTTGTGTGAACTTGAGTAACCCCCAACTTGTGGAGCTGGTCTCCAGGCAACACCCGACTGTTGTGTAGAACTGAACCAGTGCGAGTTCTGCGCTACCTTGCAATTCCCTGGCAGGGCTCGAGTCACCCTCTGTTTGCTTGGGTGTTGAAATGGATTCAGATGAGAGCAGCCCCAGGCGGCTGTACCTACTGAAACAGGAAGCAGCTGGCGGAGGTTACAGCAGGAATCAGTAACTGAACTGCCACCCCCGAACATTAGAAACCAGATTACTACCAGGAAAGGTTTCTGTCCTCCAAATTCTAAGCTAATAATCCACCTTTCTTTTCTTCCCCTGCCCCACACTCCTGTCCCCGACCCCCACCACAGTGCTAGCTACTTGCTCCTCCTCCTTTGGTATTTCTCATCTAGTGGCATGATCAGAAACATTGGTGACTTATTATTATTTTTTTTTTAAATCCAGGGGCACTTAACCACGGAGCCACATCTCCATTTTGAATTTTATTTAGAGACAAGGTCTCATTGAGTTGCTTAGGGCCTTGCCATGGCTGAGGCTGACTTTGAACTCACGATTCTCCTACCTCAGTTTCCGGAGCCACTGGGATTACAGGCATGTGCCACTGCGTCTGGCTCCTTGGTGCCATCTTTGACTGCTCTTTTTCTTTATGCCCTCCTTCTAGTTCACCAGCACATTCTTCTGCTTTACCCTGGGCATGGACCTCTACCCCAAACCCAGTTACCTCTTATTCCTCTCCTGCCTCCACCCTGGTCCCAGCCAGCATGAGTTCCGCCTAGAACTTTGCAATAACCTTCCTAATGGCTGCCCTGGTCTTCCTCTTGGCCCACATCCATCTTCCCCATAGGAGCCGGCATGATCATTGCAAACAATAAGGCAGACCGGGTTCCTTCTCTGCTTGTAGCCCTCCATGGCTTCCTGTCACCCTTGGAAGAAAGGCTACAGTCCCTGCCCAGTAAGGATTTTATGGCTCCATATAATCTTGCCTCTGCCTACCCTCTGATCTCATTTCCTACTACCTTTCCTCTGATCTTGACCTCCAGGGCTCCTTGCTGTTCCTTCCTATGCAAGGTAGAGGACTGTCTCAGATCTCTCTCCTCCTCTCCCAGCTCTCTGCATGGCTTAGTCCCTCACTTCACTCAAGTCTCTCCTGACATGTGAACTCCTCAGTGTTTCCTGGCCACACTTTTACTTGCAATCTCCTTACTCTATTCTATTGTGTCCTTCAAAGCATTTACGACGGGTTGAGATTATATTAAACCTTCGTTTGTTTATCTATTTTTCATCTGACACTCTTAGCTTCCGGAGGTCATGGATTTGTCTGTCCTGGTCACCTGGTGCCTTCAACAGTGCCTAGTACTGAGCAGGAGCCTGATGAATATTTATTAAGTGAAGGAGTGAGTGAAATGATAAACAAATGAATAGAAAACGTTTTGAGGGTAGTATTGCCATTATGGAAAACAGTATGAAAGTTCTTCAAAAAATTAAAAAGAGAGCAACCCCAATCCCACTACTGGCTATAGACCCAAAGTAAATGAAGTCAGTATAGCTGCACTCCCACGTTTATTGAGAGGTGTCCACAGTCCCACGTTCACTGCAGCATTATCACAATAGCCAAGATTTGGAATCAATCTAAGTGCCCATCAGCAGATGAATGGAGAAAGGGAATGTGATATATATATATACACCATGGATTCTACTCAGTCTTAGAAAGGGAGAAAATCTTTGTGACCATGTGGACGAACCAGAAGGTTATTATGTTATGTGGAATAAATCAGACACAGAAAGGCAAATGCTGCATAATCTCACTTTATATGTGGAATCTAAAAAAGTTGAACTCATAGAAGCAGGGTAGAGTGGTGTTTATCAGGGGCTGTGGAGATGTTGATCAAAGGATACAAAATTTCATTTAGATTGAAGGAATAAGTTCAGGAGCTCTATCATAAAGCATGGCATTGTTAAAAATAATGTGTGGTACCCTTGAACACATTGCTTCCAGTGGGTTTCAAGTATTATCACAGATACACAAAAAGAAACAGTATGTGAAATCGGGCCTCCATTACTTAGCTCGATTTAGCCATCCCACAATGAATACATATTTTAGATCAACATGTTGTACACAATAGACACAATTTGTATTTGTTGATTAAAAAATAAAAATTATATTAAAAAAGAAGTCGTTTTGGAGGAGTGCTTCAGCCTTGTGACAACTTTTACAAATTCATTCCTCATCAAGGCCCATGTTCGCCTGTAAGCGATGGGTTTTGGTTCTGATAATAACATTTGTTTCCCCAATCTAAGCAATTTTAAAATTTATGATCCTGGGTTTTTATTTTTATCATAGCACTGAAATTTATATCTAGCAGAGTTGCTAAAGTTTCAACTCCTGATGGACCTTTTATTTTTGTTTGTATGGGACTGAAAGCATTAGCAATGAATTTACAACTGCAGTTAGTTCTGTGAATTTTTACACTCTAAAGACATATCTCTATTACATCCATTATTACATTTTCTATGTGTGGTTAGGTTGTAGGATCTAAAAACACATCCTTAGGACAATGGGCTTTTTGTTTCTATAGATTGGGGACAGAGGTCAGGGTCTCTGAGAGAAGAAAGATCCAACCAGGCCAGGAAATCCAACCAACAATTTTTCTTCACCCCCAACATCTCCTTTTTTTCCTCCCCCCAACTCCGAGCAAATGTTGCTGAGCTTAAGCTTGGTGTTCTTAGTGGACCTGAGCCTGGTCGTGAGGAGCAAAAGCACTGCTGGGTTAAAGGATCCTTGGAGTGGACAAGGCTTCTGAACTAAAGCAGGGGAAAATGCAGTTCATCACCCCAGATCACTCACCCTTCCTGGCTGCCGAGAGTCACCCGCGTCGGAGTGCTGGACTGCAAGATACTCTTGCTATGCCGTAGGGTTGGGTTGGTGACATCCATCCTGGGAGAGCCTCTGAGGTGCTCTCTGGCTTCGAAGCCTGTGCCTTTCCTCAGTCATAACGAGCTAGCCAGCATGTCTGCTCCTAGTCCTAAGTTGCTGACTCCCAGGAGAAGAGGCGAACTGGTTCGAGTTTTGAATTTAACCACTCGGTGTATTTTTAGAAAATATAAGCATGATAGAAATCCTCATCTGCTGTGTCCTCCAAACGTTCTCCAATTCACAAATTTACTCTCAAGTTTTCCTCTTCCTAAGTCTTTATTCATAAAAATTCTTTGCCATTAAAAAAAAAAAAGTCTTTGAATTTTCTTTCTTAAGTTTCCAATCTTCTATTCTCGAACTTTCTTTCCCCCCCAAAAGACTCCCTGAAATGCCAGGCTGAGTAGATTCAACCTACAAAAACAACAGGTTTGGTTCTACCTGGGGCAGGTGGAGGTGAGCTCTCATCCGGGCGCTGGTGTTCCCAGCGTGAGGCCACTCAGGGAGAACGTCCATTCCGGCCCCTGCCTTCTGGTACAAACATGAGGGGCTCCGAGGGAGGAACTGCCAAGAGGCCCAGGAAAGGCTCCGTGAGAAACTTGTCATCCTCCACCCTCCAGAACCTCAGAGCAAAAACAGCAAACCACTTTGCCCGATGGAAACACAGAGTCAGCCACAGGAAGCAACACCACCGACGTGCTAATGAGGCACAGGGCACAGGAAATGCTGCTGATCTTCTTAAGACAGAAGGAAACCAACCCATCCTCAGCCCGCCGTTTCCTGGGCAGGCTTGCATGTGATTAGAAATGGGGAGGAGAGGCAGGGATGAGATTGTCCACCCTGGGTTCTGAGACACTTAGAGTTTTATAAGCCTCCGGGGTCATGGTGCTTTTTCGTGGAGAGAGAGTACTGGGAGGTGCTTTTAGAGAGAAGTGTGTGTCTCTGGCACCTGCTTCCGTGTGTGGGGGTGAAAGGCACAAAGGAACAGGCTTTAAAAATAGCCTTCCAGGTGATGTTGACAGCACTACTCTGTGTTTCATGCTTTGACAACCTCTGCTCTAGGGTGCTACCCCCCCAAACAGGGGTGAGTCTGGGTTGTCAGGGCCACAGGAGGTCATTTCTTCCACCCCTGCTCCCTTAAGGCCTGTGTCAGAGGCACCTGGCTGCTGACCACCTCCTGCTAGCAGGGCTCTTCTGCAGACCCGTCCCAGGCCCATCTCAGAGGACAGATGGTTCCCCCCAGGATCTACCTGAAGGGTCCCAAGCTTTGGAGATTGTTCAAAGGGAGAACCTTCTCATCTCCAAAGGTGCTGCATCTTAGGAAGGAATCCCAGTGAGAAGGGGCCTCTGAGACAGCTGTGAGGATGTGAAGCGCCTGTCGGACCCCGCTTTCCCTAAGCAGGCAGATCCCCAGACGGATGGTTACCACGCCTCTCTCCTGTCCCCTCCCAAGGGACATCAGGGTCCTCTGCTTCCCTAAGACAACCTGCCCTTCCATGCCCCAGGCTGTCCAGGGCAGG